GGAAATTTATTCTACCCTTCTGGACATTAATTGCAACAAGGCCCCTAGGCCTGATGGTTTCACCTTTATTTTCTATATTAAATGCTGGAGTATTGTTAAGGATAAGGCGGTGGAAGCTATACAGAGTTTCTCTAAGGGGGAGACCCCTGGAAATTATTTCTCTGCCGCTACTATCGTTCTTATTCCCAAAAACACTCAAAAAAGCTATTGGGACCATTTTAAACTTATTTATCTGACTTCTGTCATATCTATGATGATTAATAAAATTTTGGTCAGGCGTATTCAACCACTTCTCCACAAATTAATTTCCTTGAATCAATCTGCCTTTATTCAAGGGTGAGAGATCACGGATAATATTATGCTTGCGCGGGAACTCATCTTGGATATTGATAAAAAAAGTAGAGGGGGAAATATGGTCACTAAATTGAATATTCGCAAGACTTATGATTTTGTTAGTTGGGAGTTTATCTTGAAGGTGCTTAAAGCTAGGGGCTTTTCCTAGGATTTTTACAAAATTATTCTCTCATGGCTCCGTTGTAATAAATATAGCATACTCATCAATGGTCAATCTCAGGGCTTCTTTAGTGTGGGGCGTGGGATAAAGCAGGGTGACCCCTTATCCCCTACTATTTTCATTTTAATATTTGATTATTTTTTTGCCTTTTAAATAACTTTTTCAGTAGAAACACCACTTTGCAATACACTCATAAATCCAATACGTTGGTAACACATTTAGCGTATGCCGATGATATGATATTATTCTCTAATGCTAGCAAAAAGCCGGTGAGGGATATTCACAGTTTAATGGTAAACTTCCAATCTGTCTCTGGTCTCCTTTTTAATGCTAATAGATGCAACTTATACATGGGAAATACGGTCAATCGTTCTAATGCGTGCTGGATTGCTAATTTTACTGGATTCTCTATTTCTACCCTTCCACTTAAATATCTGGGGTCTTTTTACTTAAAGGAAGGATGAGGCAAATTCAGTTTGACGAGGTGGTGGAAAAGGTGCGGAAGAAAATCTTGGATTGGAAAAATAATTTGCTTTCTTTCGGGGGTAGAATTACGTTGCTCAGAAGTATCTTATATTCTCTTCCTTTATATACTCTTCAAGTTTTTCAAATCAAGAAAATGACTCTTTTGAGCCTCGAAAGATGTTTCAATAAGTTTTTATGGGTGGGGAATCATTCAGGTAGAAGATGGATGCTTTCGAAAAATATTTGCAAACCCTTCTATGTTGGTGGTTTGGGTTTCAAATCTCTGCACCATATTGTTGATATTAATGTTTTTAAACAATGATTTAATTTTCAGAAAGGTGATTCCTTGTGGGTCATTTTCATGCATGGGAAATATTGTCACTCCTCTCATCCGGCATTGATCAATTGGCGGTGGGGTATTCCACTATGTGGAAGAGAATGTTTCATATTAGAGATTGGGATAAGGATTTCATATACTGAGAGGTGGGGAGTGGAAGCATTTCCTTTTGGCATGACTGTTGGTCCCATGTAATGCTTGATATGAGGGATACAAGGTTTTCAAGTCTTATGGTTTCTGATACTTGG